TTTGCAAATTTCGCAAACAGATCTAAGAGAATGATTCTGTGATTGGCGATACGCGAATCCGCTTACGCACGATCCGCTGCATGGGACATCACCCTAAGTTTAATTTTAAAATTCAATTTTAAATTTACATTACCGTTTTTCAAATAACCATTGTTACTCATAATGCACGAATATTTAAAAAGGGTTTTGTATATTCCTCGATATTCCTGCAATTCAGATGGCTAGGCGTTTATGACGCCGTGTGTACATATGTACATACATACATACACGAAAAAGGCTGGGATATCTACTCTCAAATTAATTCTTTTGCTGCAGTATTGAAAAATTAATTTATTATGTAGGTATATATTTATTTCATGTATTTTTATATTATTACATTTCTTTAAAAAAAATTTCTTTACATTTTTTTGAGATACATGTCTACGAAAGACAATAAACATGCTCTAATTTGATTTTTGCATGTAGAAACCACAAAAAATATCTGAAAAAAAAGAAAAAATTGGGAACGGACACAAAAAAATTAACGTAAATTAAACTTTTATTTGAAATGATACTGCTAGTTCTTTTGCATCCAAACTTTTTTCTATTGTATAGTATTTACAATAAATAAAATATGTAAAAATATGTTAGACATAAAGAAACTTAATTAGGACTCTAGAGAAGAAGACTGATAAAAATATACCTCAACATTTAATTCTTCAGGCAACCAATGAATACTCTAATAACAATTCGCATCTTTTTGCTACTGGAAATAAATTTGAGAAAGTTATGTAACTATTTGCATACATAAGGTCTGTTCGCGTTGCATGAAATCCCCAAATATTTTTGCACTTAAAATGAGATAGATATATATTTTGCTTTGAAAAGAGAGAAAACAAAGATGCCGAGTAAAAAGTGCGAATAACGCGAATAGATCTATAGTTGTGTGTACATCTTGTTATGTATTCCATTGCACCAGTTTAAGTTAACTTTAATGGATGATTATAAGAATTTGGCAATATATCGGTCACTTAACTTTTCGCGACACCGTTAACATATCTTCACAAATTAGTCACTTATATGGCACCACATTTTTTATTTTTCTGTGATAAATTGAAGAGTTATGTGAGACAGCAATAATTAATAAGCTCCTTGTGCGATTATATCGGTGCACGCAATTAAGAAGGCAGTAAGCCTAAGTTCTGTAGACATATTTGCGCTGCTTCTGCCTTTGCCTGTTTTTTGTTTGAACTCGCAACACTCGGCTTATATTCAATGCCATTTACTTTTACCTATAATAGAAAGATATATTTGTATATAAATATATATATCTCTAAGTATAAATATTAAAATATTTAGAGCAACACATTGCTCACTTTGAAGAGAAAATTCTTCCTGTGATCTGGTCCAGATTCAAAGCATAACTCGTAAACTGGTGCTCCAAGTTTCTTCTTTGTGCAATATTCTCCTAAAAGCGACACTGGATGTTTGCCTAGAACAAAATAAATGTGGATAATCAAATTTAGTTTGATTTATTTTAACTAGAAATATATGCGCGCGCGCGCACACACACACACACACGCGCGCGCGCGCGTATATCTATCTATTCGCAAAATAATTTAAATTAAGATATACCTTCCAACGTTTTGATCATTGGCACCATAGGCTTTACAGTTTTGCCGACTTTTTGCACGATATCTTGTTCAGAAATGAGTCCTTTCTTGTCTAATTTTACCTCTAGTTGCAACGGTTCCAAGGCCCCTTCTTTATTCTTGCCAAGGCCCTCACCAGGACGCCAACCCATCTTCTGCAATAACGCCATACCCATCCCACCTGACAGAGGCTGTGCCGATACTAATTGGTCCTAAACAATTTGTTGAATTAGAAAAAATAATGTACCTATGTAGAGTTGCATTGCGCGGATACAATATTAAAATATAATCTTTGAGTTATATGTTTTATTTTTTAGAGTCAACATATAATTGCTAAAAGAATCATGTATATTAGACGATACAATTTAAACAAATAAACTCGTCAATAAGACAGACATATTCTATTATTTATTCGGTTATAATCTGAAAAAAACTTCTCTTTCTATGTGTGTGTCTCATAATGTTGAAAATTTTGAAAATATAATTACGGGAATTTGTTAAACAACTTGCGTATACTTACCAAACAGATACATACCGAACAAATAATAATCTCTGCACCAGGCTGCCGAAGTTGTTTTTTTCTCTGATGTAGCTATATGCCTGTAACAAACCCTCAGGTGGATGCAGACTAATGCTAAATATCCCAGCTTTATGAATAAAAAACAATCGGCTTCTGGTGAAATCCTAGGAAGCTGACGATAATTAGCAATAATCTCACAAGAGCTTATTATCTCAGTTGAATATATAGAAAATTTGTTTGTATAAAATTTGTAAAAAATTAAATTTTAGATTAATATATACATATATCATATCTAATTTATATTTCGTATATATATATATA